TCGCTAAGCAACTGCACGTGTGTCGGGGGATACTACGGGTCGATGGGGAACTGCACCATGTGCCCGGACAACTCCATGTCAGCGGGAGGCTCTACGGTGCTGACGGACTGCAAGTGCAACGCTGGTTACGTGTGGGAGAACACGACATCAACGTGCTCGGCATGCAGCAGGGGGACCTACAGGGGCGAGAACGACACCGAGTGTCTGGCATGCGAGGCCGGGAAGTACTCATCGACGGAGGGATCACCGGAGTGTCAGATGTGTCCGGAGCATGCAAGCTCGCTTGCGGGATTGACTGCATATGCGACGCGGGGTACACAGGGCTGAACGGGTCGAACTGCACGGCGTGTCCAGCGGGACAGTACAAGGCGAGCAACGGGTCATCGCAGTGTGCTCCATGCTCCGCAGGTACCTACAATAACGCGACGGGGGCCACCGTCTGCTCGGGCTCGTGTGCTGAGACCTTCACGTCACCGGAGGGGAGCTCATCAGAAGAAGCCTGCGGCTGCGTACCCGGGCTGAGTCCGGTCAACGGAACGTGCACGTCATGCGAGGCGGGCAAGTACAAGGACGAGCTAGGGACGGCCACGTGTACTGCCTGTCCTGTCAACTCCACATCGGAGGTAGGGAGCACGTCGCTAAGCAACTGCACGTGTGTCGGGGGATACTACGGGTCGATGGGGAACTGCACCATGTGCCCGGACAACTCCATGTCAGCGGGAGGCTCTACGGTGCTGACGGACTGCAAGTGCAACGCTGGTTACGTGTGGGAGAACACGACATCAACGTGCTCGGCATGCAGCAGGGGGACCTACAGGGGCGAGAACGACACCGAGTGTCTGGCATGCGAGGCCGGGAAGTACTCATCGACGGAGGGATCACCGGAGTGTCAGATGTGTCCGGAGCATGCAAGCTCGCTTGCGGGAAGCATGGAGCTTACAGACTGCATATGCGACGCGGGGTACACAGGGCTGAACGGGTCGAACTGCACGGCGTGTCCAGCGGGACAGTACAAGGCGAGCAACGGGTCATCGCAGTGTGCTCCATGCTCCGCAGGTACCTACAATAACGCGACGGGGGCCACCGTCTGCTCGGGCTCGTGTGCTGAGACCTTCACGTCACCGGAGGGGAGCTCATCAGAAGAAGCCTGCGGCTGCGTACCCGGGCTGAGTCCAGTCAACGGAACGTGCACGTCATGCGAGGCGGGCAAGTACAAGGACGAGCTAGGGACGGCCACGTGTACTGCCTGTCCTGTCAACTCCACATCGGAGGTAGGGAGCACGTCGCTAAGCAACTGCACGTGTGTCGGGGGATACTACGGGTCGATGGGGAACTGCACCATGTGCCCGGACAACTCCATGTCAGCGGGAGGCTCGACAGTGCTGACGGACTGCAAGTGCAATGCTGGTTACGTGTGGGAGAACACGACATCAACGTGCTCGGCATGCAGCAGGGGGACCTACAGGGGCGAGAACGACACCGAGTGTCTGGCATGCGAGGCCGGGAAGTACTCATCGACGGAGGGATCACCGGAGTGTCAGATGTGTCCGGAGCATGCAAGCTCGCTTGCGGGAAGCATGGAGCTTACAGACTGCATATGCGACGCGGGGTACACAGGGCTGAACGGGTCGAACTGCACGGCGTGTCCAGCGGGACAATACAAGGCGAGCAACGGATCGGCAAACTGCTCGCTGTGCCCGGCGGACACGTTTGCAGATTCCGTAGCTACATCTCAATGTAAGTCGTGCCCGTGGAATGCAACTTCTTATCCCGGCAGCGTCAGCTCTCTGGATTGTCGTTGTAAATTCCCGTATTACGGGACTTTTGAGCTTGGCTGCAGGCTTCTCAACTGTACAGAGTCGAATTTCACTTGTAATGGTTACCAGCAAGAATGCATAGCATATGATTACTGCATATGCAACAAGGGGTTTGATATGAATATGACGACCAAGGAATGCCACAACATCAACGAGTGCGGTAAATCTATTCCTTTTTTATATGATTGATGAGAGATTGACTTTCTTTCTTTTCTCAGTTCTAGAAGAATATCAAACCTGTGATTTGAATGCTTATTGTATGGACACTGAAGGTTCATTTCAATGCGAATGTCTTCCTGGTTATGTGGGGAATGGGACCCATTGCATTGAAGAATGTAACACTGGGAGTATTCAATGTGCTGAAAACGGGCAGTGCATATTTGATATATTCAGCATGGAAAATTACTGCATCTGTAACGAGGGCTACGAAGGAGATGCTTCGGTCTCTTGCATAAACATAAATGAATGCCTCAACAATCAAACATGTCCGGTCAATACAAACTGCACAGACACGGACGGCAGCTTTCTCTGTTTATGTAAGGAAGGATTCGACCTGATCAATGATGTTTGCACTGATATCAACGAATGCATTGACTATACAGACTGTCCATTGAATTCTAATTGTACGAATACTATTGGATCGTTTGAGTGTATTTGCAATGCTGGTTATTTTCATTCTCCAGATCAGTCGTCGTACTGTTCGGACATCAACGAGTGTCTAGAAGGGTATGACACCTGTGCGATCAATTCTTCGACTTGTACCAACGTGATTGGCTCCTTTGAATGCACATGTAATCCTGGTTACTCGGGTGACGGAATCACGTGCGTCGACATCGACGAATGCAACGCTACGGACACCAACAACTGTGACATTCACTCTGTGTGCAGCAACACCATAGGTTCCTTTCTTTGCGACTGTACCGAAGGATACACAGGGACCGGAACTCTTTGCCAACTGTGTGAGGCAGGCAAGTACAAGGACCTGGTGGGGCCTGCAGCATGCACACCGTGCTTGAACCACTCTTACAGCCCTGTGGGCAGTCGGAACAGTTCAAGTTGCTTGTGCGTCGAAGGGTTCTACAGAGATCCACTGGGCAACTGCTCGTCGTGTCCAGCTGACACGTTCAAAGAACAGATCGGAGACGAATCCTGCACCCCCTGCCCGTTGTACATGGTCGGGCCTGTTGGAAGCAGCAACTCATCTTTGTGCCAGTGCCAAGAGGGATACACCTTGAAGAATCTCTCAGACACTTCAACATGTGTGGCATGCGATCCAGGAACCTACAAGGACCAAGTTGGTCCTGAGGGATGCTCCGCCTGCCCTCCACATACAGTATCAGCTGTCGGAAGCGCCAGCAAATCTGAATGCATCTGTGTTCCGGGCTACACTGGTGCAGGAGGAGTTTGTGTGGCGTGTGAGAGTGGCAAGTACAAGGATGTCAACGGAAGCTCGGAATGCAAGTTCTGTCCGTCCAAGGCTTCTTCGGAACCGGGCAGCAGCAGCTCAACAGACTGCCGTTGTGACTACGGTTCGTACGGTGATGGCTGCCTGCCATGCCCTGTCGGCAAGTACAAGGACAACATCGGGTCCGAGGCCTGCCAGCAGTGCCCCCCCAACTCTACTTCGAGCACAGGCGCTCGCCACATCGAAGAATGTGCATGTAATGCCGGCTTCTTCGGGGTAAACGGCGGAGTCTGCGTGCAGTGTGAAAGTGGCAAGTACAAGTCCGTGTATGGCTCCGAAGACTGCGACGTCTGTATCCCCAACTCGTACTCAGCTGTCGGGAGCATCTTGCCGTCAGACTGTGTCTGCAACGTTGGTTACCAGGGGAGTGGCGACACCTCCTGCACGGACTTCAACGAGTGTCAGGTTGGCACCGACGATTGCGATCACACCCGAGCTGTGTGCATCAACACTGTAGGAAGCTTCCAATGCTCTTGCGTTCAAGGATTCACAGGCAATGGGACGACCTGCCTTCCTGAAAACATTATCAAGTCCTTTTCCTTCTTGATGTCTTTTCCAAGTTCGTACTTGCTCAACACCAGCTCTCTTTTCCTAGCGATTTCTGGTGCTTTGAATGTCGAATTTCCTTTGAATTTGACCGTGAGTCTGGTGAGCTCGGGTGGAAACTATTTGAACCATTCGAATCATTCCAATCTTGAGATTTGGCGAGTCATCTTTGCAATGAGAGTGACCAGCATCGACCAGTTCGACACGTACAATGAAACTTTGGTGGTTCAAACTCTTCTCAAGGCAGGGTTTGCGTTGCCTTACAACTTTACCGACACTGTCGTGGTGTCAGAGTGTGGAAATGGACGGATAGAGGGATACGAGATGTGCGACGATGGGAATTCAGTTGAAGGCGATGGCTGTGACGCCATATGCCGAATTGAGTCAGGTTGGACCTGCAAAATTCAGCAGATTCCTGCTTCTCCTGACAACTCAACCACAAGTGCTTGTACTGACATCAACGAGTGTTTGCATCCAAGTGTAGTTTGCAGTCCTTATGCCAGGTGTTACAACAAGCCTGGAAGTTTCGACTGCGTCTGCTTGCGAGGCTTCTTTGGAAATGGAAAAGAATGTACGGATGACTTCCAAGACAACACTCTTTTGCAGGAGAACACCATTTTCTCCTCTCTTCCTGTCAGCGTGATATCTAACGTAACCATCAAGGATTTCGGAGCTTCGATTGCGCTGGAGAAGAATATGCTGCTTGTGGGCTCGGATGGGTTAGGAGCCTTGTTGTACGAGAGAGAGTTGGAGGGGAAATGGGACAGTAATCTCAAGTTTCACTTCAGAGCGTCTCAACATCTGACAGGTTTTGGCATCTCGTGCTGCATGTACTCCAATGACATTGGGGATGTCACGAAGCCCAGCAGGAGTCAAGCTGTGATTGGGTCCAAGCAGAACCAAGTTTACATCTTTGAACGAGAGAACCAGGGTACATGGGCCCTTGCAGCCGTGTTGAAGCATGAGAGTCTCTTCTTCGGCTCTTCTGTCGCAACCTACAAGGACGATGTCTTGGTGGGAGCTTACGGCGATCAACAGGCCTTCGCGTTCCGACGAGATGCTGTTACGGGTTGGTCCTCCAGTCCTAGTCGAGTGTTTCTCCCAGACTCCAACTTGGGCTTGTTTGGCAGCGCAGTTGCAATCAGAAACTCAGTGGCAGTGATCGCTTCCTTGTACAGCGAGAGAGTATACGTGTTCTTCCGTGACTTGAACGGGCAGTGGTTGGACGCTCCTCAGATCTTATCGTACGCAGGGTCAGACTCGTTTGCCTCGAGCTTTGGGGCTTCGATCTCGATGTCGGACAGGTTCATCTTCATCGGAGACCCGCAGAAGCGTCAGGTCCACATCTACATCAAAGACACCAACACCAGTTACAACTTCCTTCGGATCATCAGCTCGGAGTCTCGCAACTTTGGAAGCTGCGTGGCGAACACAGATCTTTACGCTGTCGTGGGTGCGATGAACATGAACAAAGCATTCATCCTCAAGGTCTCGACCAACGACACTTGGAACTTCTCGAACGCGCACATTCTTGGCGAGGGCCAGAGGCCAGCGGAAGACCTTGGGTCCGCATGCTCCATCACGAACCAAGATGTCGCTCTGCCCTCCATGATGGTCAGGTCGGTGTATCTTCACGCCTCTTTCTGTGCCTACGGCTTCTACGGCTGGTCCTCGGACAACTGCACCTTGTGTCCTGCAAACACAATTGCCAAGAATCTCAGCAGGACAATCGAAGATTGCGTGTGCGCTCCTGGCTACTACGGTCCAGATGGAAACAGCTGTGAGCTTTGCCCGGCCAATCATTTCTGCACAGGTGGATTAGAGAAGGTGTCGTGTCTAAACTATTCCTCGAGCCGTCCAGGAAGCATGTCATCAGCTGATTGTGTGTTCAATCGCTTTTTGACTAAAAACATCAGCCAATCTACGACAAAAGCGAATCGATCGAACATCTTGACCATGATTCTCGAGCCGAACATCAATGTCTTTGTGAGTGATCATCTGAACATCACAGTCAGCGGTTTGCTCTGTGGTGGATCTGATTGTGCACCATGTCCCGATGGTTTCAACCTCACAGTCTCATCCTCCACAGGTAGCGTGAGCAACGTCACTATAGAGAGCAGCTCCAGCGGTCGTCTCGTCATCTCGCATACGGCTGACATGCTTGTCGGAGCCTTATACCGCTACAGCTGGTGCTTCCTCAATCCTCCCCAGGGTCAGGAATCACCAAATATCTTCATCGAGGCCTCCGCCTCCTCCCAGGCAGGCATAAGCTTCCATCCTGCCCTCATGCTCAAGGCGCCTGGTCGTTCTGCTCCCCTCGCTATCGATGGTCTCTCGCTGCTGCATGCGACGCAGAGCGATCCGAGTCAGGTGAGAGAAAGAGCTTGACATGATCGTCGCAGGTACTGACGTGTGTGTTGGCAGCTTTCCTGGAACAACATTTCTATCTCGCTTCAATCATTTACCACTATCAACTCTCAGTCTTACATTCTTATCTATCCCCTTGAGGGAATTGAGATTTTTCCATCGTTCAATGTCACCAACACAGACAATTCAGATACTTTCTCCAAAGATGCGATCTACAATGAGACAGACAAATCTTTACGTGTTTCTCTGTTGAAAAGCATGCAACCGTCCAACATTTATTCTTTCTCCATTGCTGTCATGAATGGCAAAGCAGCGCAGGAGGCATATCCTCTCACATTTCAAATCTACGATACAAACGACGAGCTGATAGTGCACAAGGTTCAAGACAGCTCCTTGCTCGACTTCACGTCACCATTCACCATCGCTGGCTTCACATCCGCGGACATCTTTCAGAGTACAGCCTCTCCTTCAACGATCAACATCATCACTGTGATGCTGACAAGCTCCTTCACGCTCCTCCCTACGTCTCCCCGTGGAATGTCTTGTATAATTCAGGGGTTGACAGGATCGTTGACTCCGGATCAACAGATTGTAGTCAACCATACAGCATACAATGTTTCCACGCACCTTCTTGCTTCTTGGGTTCAAAGCACAGGGTCTCTTCAGCTTGACATGGAGTTCGGCTTCACTGCACAAGATCCGTTCAATCTCACCTTCTCTCTTGAAAATCCTTCTACAGCACAAGCAGCTCGAGCGGCTTCTCTCTCCTGCACTGGGATTCTAGTCGCTCCCTTCCTCTTGCAGACTCCTCAGAATCGTTACGGCCCGTTGGCAACTTCGGGCTTTGCGCACTTACGAGCTTCGCAGAGCAACGCTTGTCCTGGAGGGACAAACGAGCTCACCATCGAGTTTTCTCTCTTCGTGTCTCTTCCCTTCCAGACTGACTCGACAAGTTCGCAGCTCATCATCGAAGGTCTCGTCCATGTCGCGTCTCCCCCGGTCGTTACGCTCATGTCAGCCACCAATGCTTCCAACACCGTCTTCCTGGACTCCACGAGTCTGCTCTCTACCAACCCGACTTGGCATGACAACCTGGGGACGCTGAGGCTGCAGCTCGAGCCCACCTCAGTCCTCGAGGCTTCCAAGTACCATCGTCTCACACTTGCCTTCACGAATGGCAACAGCGGGCAGGCAGCAGTCCAAGTCCAAGTCTCGGGGACTGGGAACATGTTCCTGGCCAAGACGGCAGCTGATTTTGTGCGAGGTGAACATGCGCCCTTGCAGATCTACGGGGTGAGCGCTGCAAGCCTCCAGCAGTCGAATGCAAATATGGATGACTCCAACGTCATCGTCCTGACTCTTGAAAGCTGGCTTCCGCTGCTCAACGGAACAAGAATATCCGTTGACGGGCTGCCGGCTAACCTTTCTTCTGATGGAAATCTGGAAGTTCAAGTTTCACTGTATCAACAAGTCTCGACGATATCCGCCGCCTGGTCGGCTGCGTTGTTGGTACTGACCGTTCCATTCAATGCGCAAGATGAGACCCTGCAGATCTTCGTATACACTATGCGCTTCACAATCAAGAACCCTTCCTACGGTCAAGATTCTCCTTCCTCGGTCTCGATTCAATTTGGTCAGGAAAACTGCCCGTCGTTTAACTTCAGCAAGGAAGTCACCCTGGCGAAGAAGAACTATGCTCCGTTCCTCGTTGCCGACATCCTGGAAGGATCCATCCGCCAGTCGACTGCCTCGATCAGCTCCAACAACTTTGTCACCCTCAACTTCACGTCGCGCGGAAACCTTGAACCCGGCCTGATCCTCAACCTCAAAGGCATCGAGTGCTGTCGCTGCGGAACCCGAAAGCCTCTGACGTGCAAATTTCAGATCAAGGAAGTGAGCTCCGATCAGTTTCACTGGCGGGGAGAAGAAAGCTCTGCTCCTGTGACATTCATCGCGTCAGGAAACACCAACTCGACCTACTTCACTTCCGTCATCCAGCTACAACTGCTGGTGCCAGTTCAAGCGAGACAAGCTCTCGTCATCGTCCTCATGACTCAAAACCATGATTGCGGCCAGCTGAGCTCGACAGCGATCTCGCTGTCTGTCGCGCCAGGGCCGGGTATGCAGCCCCCCTACGGACTGACGATCAGCGACTTTCCCTTGACTTTAGGACGAGACGCCTTCGCGCCTCTCCTGATCAACTTCTTCAACTCTACCTACATGTACCAGGACACCGCCATGGCTGATGCTAACAACACCATCTACGTGTCGTTCAGCACTGCAGCCCCGCTGCAACCCGGGGCTAAGATAGTCCTCAAAGGCATGAAGAATCTCCCGGTCAACGTGGTCGTCAAGAACTCAGTTGATGGAGTAATCTCAAACCAATCTCAGTACGAAGGAGAGGCAATCTTTCAGACAGACACTGAGTTCGAGCTTGATGGCAACATTCTCACTGTTTTCATCTCAAGCAATAGCAGCGGAACATTGGCAGGACTGAAGTACACTTTTGCGATCTCTTTCCGAAATCCATCAGCGTATCAGGGCAATCCTTACATCACCATACAGGCCGTTGACCCTTACGCTACTACGTACCCGGACGAGGCCAACATTGGAAGCTACCTGAACGCTCCTCTTCTCATCGTTGACTTTGTCCAGAAAGAGATCAGGCAGAGCACAGCAGAAGCAGGGGGATTGAACACTTTCACAGTCACCCTGTCAGTGAGCACGGACATCTTCGCGCTTCCGGTAGTCACCATCACAATTGGTGGCCTCCTGCCCACTCAGACGCCGTCGGGCAGCGACACGTCAGTCTCCAGCAGCGACCTGGTGTTGGGGAACTCGACGTGGCTTGAGACAGGGTTGCTAACCATCGAAGTGAAGCAAACGATGATGGCGGAAGTGAAGTACTCGCTCTCTTTCACACTTCGAAACCCTTGGAAGGCTCAGCCTCCCGTCCAGCCTTTCATCTCAGCAAACGGCAGTGACATCCACGAATCAATGATGGACTACTCTCTTTCCACCGCCCCATTGAAGATTCACGTCAACCTCACTGAAAAGCTTATCAGTCAGTCAACAGTCTCTGCTGGATCTGACAACGTCATCACAGTCTCCTTGAAGTCCGCCTATGGATTTTTTACTGGACACTCAATGACATTGGCAGGCCTCATGAAGAGCCTAACGCCCACAGGATCTCTGTTTGTGCAGACCAAGGTCGTAGATGCAGATCAGGCGGTCGTTAGCACGAAGAACATATCAGCGAAGTGGTTTCAGCACAATGGCACCTTGATGTTCGCCGACTTCAGGAGGGACGTTGATGTCTCGAACGCGTATGTGATTCAGTTCACCTTGAGAAACCCTCTCTATCCTCAGACCTCACCGGCAGTCAGCCTCTTCATGTCTGAGATCCTCGAAGAGTGGACGAACCTGACCGCTGGCGATGGTGTTCAGGCACCGCTCCTGGTAGCTGGGTTCCTGCAGGGCAAGATATCGCAGACTTCAGCTGACCAAGGGATGGTCAACAGCATTCTGATTCGTTTTAGTCTGCGAGCTTCCCTCCCAGAGGGAGCTCTGGTCGTGGTGGGCGGGTTGGAGGAGGTGGACAGTGAGGTCAGAGATGTGCAGATCAAGGTCTTTCGAGAGAGTGGGAATACCACCGAGGACCTGCAGAGCTTCCTTCCCGCCGCTGCTTGGAATGGAACGAGCGGAACTCTGTCAATCACAGTAGGGCAGGGGCAGTCTGCGCTGTCCGAGACGGAGTACCTCATTGTATGGAACGTCACAAATCCGAACGTGAGCAGGAGCTCTCCTTCTTCCATATACCTCGTTGGAGGCGGAGCTGCTTACATGTCTCCTTTCAACATGACGAGGGATGTCTTTCTGCGTCAACCCTTCCTCGTCACTGGGCTGATCTCGGCCTCCATGGAGCAGAACGAGACCTCCATTGGTCGGGCAAACCTGGTTACCCTCAAGTTTGCGACCACCACCCTCCTCCCCCCCTACACAGTGATCTCGATATTGAGCAATCCCTTCCTCGGCTCTCTCGACGTCCTGCAGACGTTGCTACCCAGCGGATTCTCGAGGCATCTGACGGACGGTCTTGTCTTTTTCGTCGATCAGAACACAGTAGCAGGGAAGGAGTATCAGATCGGCGTTGTCATCAGAAACAGAGTCCACATGCAAGAGTCTCCAGAGCTGCATCTGCAGATGACTGGAGGAATCATTATTGTACCCTTCACCATCTCCAAGGCCGGAGGGAATGCAGCTCCCTTCCTCATTGCAGGGTTGCTCCTGAAAAACATTTCGCAGTCGAACTTTGATCAGGATCTTGACAACACTATAACGGTTAACGTCTCCTCGAACGTAGACCTCAAGGCGCATGTATGCCAACTCGTACTGGTTGGCCTCAAGGGTTCGCAGACCCCAACTTCTTCTGTCTTGCCGGTTTTGCAGGCGCAAGGTGTTCAGAATGTATCGCAGTGGACTGTGCAGACGGGGAGTTGAAGGTGAAAGTCGACAGGGTTGTTTCCGCCGGAGATTTTCTAAGTTTTCGTTTTGTTCTCAAGAATCCCAAGTACCTGCAATCGTCCCCTCCAGTGGATATTTACGTCGAAGGAGAAGTTCTGACAGAATCCTATGGAATGGACAAGCCGTCGGCTGTTCGTTATCAACCACTGTTTGTGATAGGTCTGACAGAAGCGAGAGTGAAGCAAGAAACTCCTTCAGCTGGCGTGATAAACACCATCACCGTCGATCTCGTCTTCTCAGGATCAGGTCAAGTTGACATGCTTATTTACGTTCAAGGTCTGCAAGGTATCCACAACGAGAGTAACAGCAACGTGTCAGTGACGTTTAACGCGACCGATGCGATTGTCAGTGCGGGAGAGTACACTCACAGCAACTACAGCCTCTCTGTCAGACTTCAATTCTACATCATACAAGACACCTTGTTCCGCATGCAGTTCCCTGTGCAGAACCCCCTCGAAGGGCAGGAGTCCAAACAGCTTCAGCTTCAGACGTTGTAC